AACATTCACCTTTCTTCCAATTCCTACAGGGCATAGTGAACAAATGCAAACAAAAGGTTTTGAACCTTTTCAGAATCACATACCTGTATTTACAATGGCTGTTTTCCTTAAAAGAAATTAGCTGTTTAGTAAAAAAATGTCTTTCAATCACCTAAAAAGTTTAGATAATGTATATAATATTGATGTTATGAACAACAACAACAAGTAAATATTATATTCCACTTTCACAGACATGATTCAGTATACACAAAGCAAATCTCAGGAGAACCGTAATATACTGATCATTCCTGCAAATGAAACTCATGACTGTAAACAATGAGACAGACAATTAGTGCATAATAAATGGTGCATCTGTTGTTGCTTAACCAATAACAGTAACAACAGAAGAAATACACACATTTTTCACAATTCTTTTGGATTTTATTACTCCCGTGTGTGAAAAGCCTTCATCCAGGGGTAAATTTCAAAGAATGATTCATTCATTCTGTTTATCACTCGCCTGTTTGCTCAGTCTGCATCATACAAAAGTCTGTACTGTCTGTGTAGTCTTCACTCCTTCATCTCTGCAATGTTTTTGATGGAGCCAGCCAGGTCTGTCTTGTAGAGCATGAAGTGTCCTTGCACCTGAGCAGCACTGAGCTCTGTGTGTGCTGTCAGTGCTTGCTCGGCGAACCGCTCAGCCCCAGCTGCAGACTCCTGAGGGTAAAACCTCCGGAACATCTGAGTCAGCTGCCAGTGAGAGCAGTGGCCCACATACTGCTTCAGATCAACACGGCCAGGTCGGACAAGAGCCGGATCAAGTCTTCAGCACACAGAGGAGAAAAAAAGAGAAAGGGGAGAAAATAAAACAATACCATGTATAACAACAATAAACACAGGTGATCATGACTATTGGGTACTTACTTAAACATATAAAATATATTTTACGTATTAAATATATGTGACCCTGGACCACAAAACTGTGTCTTTTAAGTCGCTGGGGTATATTTGTAGCAATAGCCAAAAAAACATTGTATGGGTCAAAATTATAGATTTTTCTTTTATGCCAAAAATCATTAGGAAAAGATCACGTTCCATGAAGATATTTTGTAAATTTCCTACTGTAAATATATTAAAACTTAATTTATGATTAGTAATATGCATTGCTAAGAACTTAATTTGGACAACTTGATTCAAAGGTGATTTTCTCAATATTTTGATTTTTTTGCACCCTCAGATTCCAGATATTCAAATAGTTGTATCTCGGCCAAATATTGTCCTATCCTAACAAACCATACATCAATGGAAAGCTTTCAGCTTTCAGATGATGTATAAATCTCAATTTCGAAAAATTGACAATTATGACTGGTTTTGTGGTCCAGGGTCACATATATTATATTGAATTTATATATTAAATATAAAATATAATACACATTTCGATAAATATTCAATTATCTGCTAAAATCTGCTTATCACTATCTTGAACTGTAAAACAAAAGTTTATTACCACTAATCTTCGTTATGTTTATAGAGGCAAAAGGGCAAGATGACAAGGATTTTACATTCCAACTTACATCAAAACAAAAAAGTAATGCACAATGAACAAGCTGCAGTATTGAGCTTTACCTCTCAATGAAATTAGTTGTCATGAACACATTTCGGGCCTCTGAAGATGCCACTCCACCCAGAGCATTGAGAAGTCCACTGAAAGTGAGTCTTCCCATGCCCTGATAGGCCAGTGGAGCTGTGAGAACAAGACAAGGAAGAATAAATGAGATCAACAAGAGCAGAAATATTTCATGGTGCTGTTAATGCCATGGCTAGAGACCAAACTATTATCATAATTAATCACATGTGATTGTAATTACATTATACTCCAAACAGACAGTGAGAGTTCAGAAGCACTGCAGTCTGTAAGACATACTCTCAGTGGGCAGCAGCTCCCGGCTGACGAAGGCTGCATCCACGTCCTCTAGCAGGATGATGCTTTGCTGTGGAGCGACACTCAGCAGGTGGTTGAGGCGATCGTCAGACAGGCTGCGGTCACTGAGACTCATCAGACAGATGCTGTAACCCAGCTCGCCTGCTAATGCAGTTCTGAAATACCACAAGAATGGTAATGGTACTTGGGACTCCAAATTGTACATTTAACTGATTGCTTTCTTGAAGTCATATTATACTTATACTTATTATTTTTAAAAAATGGTTCTTGCACGGCAGTATAAAATTAGCAACATATACTATTGCATTTTGTCTAGTTTGTTTGTTTGTTTATTTATTTTCTTCTTAACGCCATTCCAACATCTATGGCTATATTCATGGCAAGAACCAGTTAATACACAAGTCTGCATTTTGCCTAGTAACAGATTATTAGAGTCAATAAATACATATATACATAATATTATAAGTATATGTAGCACTGTTCATAACTTTGGGGTCTCTAAGATTTGTACTATTTTTAAATAGGTCTCTTATGCTCACCAAGGCTGCATTTATTTGATCCAAAACAAAAACAGTAATAATAGTAATGCTGTGAAATATTAATACTATTTAAAACAACTGTTTCCAATTGTAATATGCTTTAAAATGTTATTTATTTCTGTGATGGCAAAGGTGATTTTCAGCAGCCATTACTCCAGCCTTCAGTGTCACATGACCCTTTAGAAATCATTCTAATATGATGATTTGGTGTTCAAGTTTATTATTACAATCATCTATGTTCAAAACAGTTGTGCTGCTTAATTTTTTTGTGGAAACCATGATACATTTTTTTCCAGGATCCTCTGATGAATAGAAAGTTCAAAAGAATAGCATTTATTTGATACAGAATATAAGAATAACACTTGGTCCTCTCAGATATTTATATTCATATTGTTGTAACTTTGTCTGTCTACTCTGCACCAATCTACACTCTGTATACTTTATCAGACACTATTATTCATAGTAACATCTACTATAAACAAAGAGACTGTGCTTACATGAAGCTGCTCTTTCCACAGCCTGGGGGTCCATACAGCAGATATCCCCTCCTATATGGAATGCCTGATTGAAACATATTCATCAACAAAAAAATTAATTAAAACATAAAACAATCAAAAAAGCAACCCTTTTATTTATTATTATAAAGATTTCACATTACATTAGAGGTGCGCATGCATTTTTTTCCTTATATTTTTAAGTATGAAAAATGCTTTTTTCACCTCTGTCAGTGTACCACTTAGGATTGCCAATGAACTCCTTTACATCATCCACGATCCTCTCCGCCAAACCATTCTCCAGCACTACTGAAGACAGAGGTCGTCTTCGCCTTGGAAACCCGAACGGCCTCCACTCTGCTCCAAGTGCAGTGTACATCACAGTTCGGCCCTCTTCTTGCTTTAAAGCAAGTTCACGTGCTGCACGGACACAGAATCAATCATTAAGACTGCAACATATTTTTGAAAAATTCAGCTGATGGTCTACTATACGTGTGAAATTCACAGCAGGTGCTGACACAACACTGCCGAATGAAGGAAAAATTAATAAAACAAAATCTAGCTGCTCATACCTTCTTGAAGTATGTTGAAGAATATTTGGCGGTCTCTGCCCAGAGCAGTGAAGGTGACGGACTCCCAGGGTGTTCCAGTGTGCCAAGTCCACCATCTGCTTTTCTCTGGTCCTCTCCACTCTGATCCACTTCCTGCCATACCTGAAAACACAAAGCCTCAGTCAGAGACATGGATAACTATGTGCTGGATTGATCTCTGAGAGAAAATCAAATAAGCAGCACATTGAATTTAAAATGTCCAAAGTAACATCACAATATATTCTGATCGTACCAAATGATGTGGTTGCCTGGACTCGGATGGAAGTCAAACTGTGTATGGACTCGTCCACTCTCATGCTGCATGTATGAGGTCTCTACACTCAGATGCTGGGTGTGTTTGGCATGTTTAGTGATCCAGCTTAAGAGCCAGTGATAACTTTTATCTCTGCTTGGGACCTCCAGCGTGATCATGTAATGTCTTCTGAAGAAGATCATGCCGACCTGTGCCCCTTTTCTGGCAACCGCAAGTGCTGTGCCAATACCAACTAGTCCAAATCCTGCCCCAAAGTAAGGGTTGTCCTTAAGGGCTCCAATAAAATCTGACAGGGTCATGATGAAGGTGTCTTCAGGATCTCTTATTCAGTCAGGAAAAGCTTTTTTGTCCCTTCATTGCAATATGCAGCCTACATTCACAGCAGAGGAGGTGAAACCATTTTCATTTTAATTTTGATGAGAGCCTTGAGACTGGTAAAACATTATGGCAAGCTGTCACTGATCAGGTCTATCTTTTTATTTAAATAAATGCAGATTTAAAAAGTCTCTATACTTACGGCAGAGGAAATATCACACCGCATTTTAGCTTAAAGTAAACGAAAAAAAGCGAATAAAATGCAATAAAACACACCCTTTCTACAGTAACCCAGCGTTGTCTCTCATTGATGATTCAACAAATAGTTATTTTGGGTGAGTCGAATCTTTTCCATGACTGATTCCATGAACCGATTCACAAATCAATCATGTTTTAAATTCGCATTATTTTGAATCAGTTCTTTTAGACGAACTGTTCAAAAGAACCGATTCACTCAAATGAAATAAGCAAATCACATGGCGACCTCTGTGTTGTTTCCGTTGTTCAACTGTAGAGCATGTGCTGATTAACTGTAGGGCATATGAAAGGGAAAGAATACAGTTAAAAGAGGAATTAAAATCTGACGGCATTAATTCTATGACATTACAGAATGTGTTAAACAGTTCTCATAAAGGTTATAAAGCTCTTATTAATTTTCTGAAAATAACAAATGTATATAATAAAATATAGGTAGAAGGTTGTTTTTTTTCTTTTTTTGAGAATTAGCATTTCCCTTGATATCAGCGCCTCACACTCCATCCCAGTAGGTGGCGGAATATGCACCAAAAGCTGGTTTGCCAACCGCCATTAAACATCATAAGAAGAAGAAGTTTCCGTTGTTCAGGAAAATAGTTCCGTGTGAATTGTGTTTCACATTAATAGTTCCGTTGTGACTGTTTACGACGCAGTCGCGTTATGACACTTTTAGGTATTCTTATAAATAACTGTCTGTAGATTTTGTGTATTTTAAAATGGATTATTCTCCGCTATGTATACTAAATTATGATGTCAGAATTCATTTTCCTCATTTCTAGAAAAATTCTAGAAATGACGCCGCTTACATTGTTTCCATCCACACAAATGAAGGTAATTTCTTATTATATAATTGAAGTCATAATTAATGTGTATTAACATAGTACAGTATTAATGCATTATCATGTTTATTCATCTCTTGATGATGATTATATTCGCGTTGTTTGCTTTAATTGAACACATCTGCTGTTCCTTGAAGATGCGTTGTTTATTTGTTTATCAGAGCAAATGAAACAAGAACCACCGCGCAGGAGGTCCAAAATTTGTTTAATAAAAACATATTTTCTCCAACAAAACATGTTCACTCTTTCAATCTCAAGTCTGGTAATCCAGAAGTCAGTTAATCACATTTTGATCTCCCTGGTGATGCAGAACAGTCGTGTTGCTGCCCTGGGAGACGGAAACACTTAATGGTCCTGATGCTGTAATAGAGTTTTACCCCTCTCTAGAGTTGATTTTATCCCTCACTGACTGATGTCCTGTCGAGTTTGACCCAAACATGCACCAACAAGAGCCTGGATGTGATGCAGAACAACTCAAGCATGTGGAAAATAATGTAGCAGATACACCGGAAGGTAAAATACAACAATACTTACAAAACCATGTTTAATTAATTATATATTCAGTAAGATATAGTCCTTTGGCATGCATGGGTCTCTGGAATATTTGATTTCAATTGGTCAGTTGCTAGACTCACATCTCTCATATCTGTGTCTCCTCCTTAAATAATTACTACTCAGATTAATGTTTCACGTGTATTTATTTGTTTATAAATATAATGTACAATCAGTCAGTCTTTACTGCAAAATAAACCAAGACAGGGTGATCTCTGAAAGAGTTTATGTTGAGATAAGCTGAAAATATTATCCCACTTATATATATTGTATGAGTTTGGCCTGTTTTACAGCTTTGACAGCTTACAGATAATAAGTGTATTATTTTCTATCTGATATAGCTTTGTCTCAGTCGAAGGGGACGGATATGGCTGTGCAACCTAGAAGCAAGAAAAGTAAATCCAAAAAATTGAAAGCATCAACAAAAAAGGGGAAAAAATGTACTACCATTAGCCAAGAAAAGCCTTTATCTAAAGGTAAATATCATGAATGTTAATAGATGTTGTAATTAAAATAATTGTAATCCCAGGTCTGATTTACGGCGTCTTTCTGTTTAGTGGGACATGTTGCAGAGGGCACCGAACACATGTTTCGCACCCACATCTGCTCTGAATGCAGACGCTGCTTCAAGACACGCTCCCATTTGATAGAACACATGCGTATTCATTTTCCTGACCCCAGTCTGCAATGTCCAACCTGTAAACACTACTTCACCAGCAAGAGTAAGCTACGCATCCACATGCTAAGAGAGACGGGACAGAAACTGCACCGCTGTAATCTATGTGAGTATAGAGCGGTGGAACGTAACTCTCTGCGACGACACCTTTCCAGCATGCATGGGCATCAAGAAGATGATGCTCCCAATGGAGAGTTGTTTAAGTGCCCAACTTGCCAAAAGACTTTCAGTCAGAGTCAGGCATTAAAAAGCCATATGAAGTCTCACAATAAGACACAAGATGGACAGCCGTTACCTTGCTTCCATAACGGCTGCTCATTTCAGTGTACAGAAAAGAAGCGGCTTCTAAAGCATGTGTTAGATGCTCACCAAACTGAGGCCGTCGAGTGCCATCATCATGCCTGCGGCGCCTTCTTCGGGAGCCTGGAAGACATGGAGAAACATTTCCGCACACATCAGGCTTATCACTGCCCCCACTGTGACTTCTCATGCTCAAATAAGAGCCTTTTTCAGCAGCACAAAAGACAAGGACATCCAGGGAATCAAGAACTGAACTGTAGCTTCTGCCCTTTCTCAACCCTCAACCCTGTGGAGTTCGATCAACATGTTGGTCGCTTTCATGCCAGTGAGAAAACACACCACTGCTCACAATGCAGCTTTGTAACAGCTCACAAAAGAGTCCTGAAAAGACACATGCTGATGCATACTGGTAAGATATTCAGTTGTTCTACTTAGTTCTTATAAGTGTTTATAGGTATAATTCACTCAAAAATGAATATTCGGTCATAATTTTTTCAGTCTTGTTATTTCAGCCTTGTATTATTTCTTTTTTTTTTTTTTTCATGAAAAACTCAAACTTGGATCATGATTGGTTTATACGTCTCTAAAAACCTTCTCAAAAACAACAAAAGTAGTCCATACAACCTGTGTGATATATTCCAAGTATTGTGAAATAATACAGGTTTAGGTATCTTCCCCTCTGCTGTAACTCTCATATAGTTTGTACAAAGCTATAGTTTAGCTGTAGCAAACTTGAGTATAGCAAGTCCCTAAGTATAAATCACCATCTGTTTTCATTCTTTGGAAAAGAGCAGGTTGGACATCTTTGTTTGCATTTCACAGAGGAAAGAAAATTATATAGTGTTTTAAACAACATAACAGTAAATGATGACAAAAGGTTAATTTTTGAATGAACTATTCCTTCAGAATTGCACATTGGCCATAAATAGATGGATAACATTTGTATTTACAGGTGAAAAGCCCCACAAATGTACACTATGTGACTTCAGATGTCGTGATGAGACATACCTTTCACAGCACATGCTGACGCACTCTAATGACAAACAGCACATGTGCTCAGAATGTGGATATGTTACGAAATGGAAACACTACCTCAGTGTCCATATGCGTAAACATGCAGGAGATCTAAGGTACGTACCTTGACTGAAATTAAAATATGATAATAAAAAGAACCATTTCCGTTTACTCACCTGCCTCTCATCTCTCTCAGGTACAAATGTAATCAGTGTCCATATCGTTGCCATCGCATCGACCAGCTGAACAGCCATAAACTCCGTCACCAGGAAAAATCCTTGATCTGTGAGGTGTGTGCATACTCCTGCAAGAGAAAGACTGAACTGCGCAGCCATATGCAGCTCAAGCACTCAGCAAATGCAGATCCACAACCTCCTGTTTACCAGTGCAAGTTTTGCCCTTACACAACAAAGTACCGGCAAGCCCTGCATAGCCACGAAAACTGCAGGCACACCCGGACACGCATGTTCCGCTGCGCACTCTGCCACTACACCACATTTAGCAACACCAGCCTCTTACTGCA